CATTAGTTGGACATTCTTCCAAAAACACTTTGTAAAGTGAAACACTTCTACAATTGCTCAAGAATATTCACAAACAGCACACTCCATAGCCACATAATTGACACACAGTTTTTCAACCTGTCACATGTTCAATTCTTCCATCTTCCAAATTAGAAGAGTGACTATATTTAAAAAGAACTTGATTGGCTACACAACACTTTGGGGCACTTAGGTCTTGAAAATAAAAAGGTCTTTCCTTCAGACCCCAAAAAGGTGATCTGCCTTTGCCATCAATCATGATAAACTCAGTCTCTCACTGTGCCTTGGAAAAGAACACCATACGTAAAAATTCCAGAGACTATTAGTGGCTTTGCCATATCACTCACAAGCAACGTCATCAGGCACTTAATGTTCCTGAACTTAATCCTGCTGTCCTTAAATGATTTCCCATGTGGGTTTGGCAACTAGATGAAAATATATTAGTATCACTTAAAAGACTATGACATTCCCCAGACTTGCAGCAAATCACCCATTGCCCTTTGGCTCTGCTTCAGAAATGGAAAATGGGTCAACAGTTTTCACTTCAGGAACACAGTTTGTCCCATTTCTCCCTTTTCACTGTTAGGTCAGGATGACATCACAACTTTTTGGCCAAGGTGGCCGTTTAAGGGTCTCTCTGGCTGCCTGTTTCTCTCCTGTAGCCTTTCCAAGGAAGGAGGAGGAGCACGTGGCATCTGCCAGTGTGTTTAAGGACTTCACAACGTAACAACTGTAAGGAATGGACAGTAACAACATTATTTGGGTTTTGTTTCTTTTCCTTAATTCCGAATAGTTGAGACTCTATAAAAAGGGACACTTCTCTTTTGCTTCAATTACTAATAAGAAAAAGCATTACAATCCATAACTAGCAAAGTTCACAAAGTTAAGAGGATGGGGTTGGCAGCTTCATAAGCAACAGGAGGGCGCGGGGTCAGCAACTTCTTAAACAATGCAAGAGCGCAGAGACAGCAATCTCAAAAAGAGAAGAATGGATCAGCACGAGGAGGACAAAGAAAATTGCAGTGGTAATAGGGAATAGCATAATTAGGGGAATACATACTGTTCTGTGCAGCAAAACCCAGAATGTCCCAAAGGCTATGTTGCCTACCTGGTGCCAAAGTTTAGGACATCGTTCTGGGCTAGAGATGAATTGGGAGTAGGAAGGGAAAGATCTAGTTATCATGGTCCACATGGATACCAATGATACAGGTCAGACTAGGAAAGAGGTTCTGCTAAAGGATTATGAGCAGCTCAAAGCTAAATTAAAAAGCAGAACCACAAAAGTAATAATCTTCTGATTACTGCCCAAACCATGTACAAATTTCATAGGGTAAATAAGACTAGAGAGATAAATGCCTGGCTCAAAGAAATTTGCAGGGGGTATGGGTGGCAGGGGGAGAGAGAGAGACAGAGAGAGAGGTTTCATTCAATGGGACTTTAAACAAGCAAAAAGGAATCAAGAGGCAGATGCAAGGGAGTAAAGAGGTGAATGAAAATCAAAGTATAACAATAAGAGATAGAAAATATAACCAGAAGAGTATAGCAGAAATTAGAATTGGAATAAGTATTAACAGTAAAAAAGGAAGATCTTAAGGCTGTTTTTCTGAGTACATATGGCATTTATAACAAAAGAGGTGAGTTGATGGCAGAAATATAAATAAATAATTGACTTGATAGCTATTATAGAGACGTGGTTGCAGGGTGACAAAGACTAGGATCTCAAGATTCAACTTGCCCGAAAAATAGGCAAAGGAGTTTGGTTAGCTTAGTCAATAAAGGATGGTATCAGAGCGGTGGTGAGTAGTGATGGGTATGCAATAGATCATGAATTGGAATGTTTGAATGGAAATAAGGGATACCAGGTTAAGGTGAACATCTTGGGCTTTTAACTTGCGCAATGTAAAAATAAAGTCTTCTGCTTATTTCTGGTGATGCCTCAGGCAACTAACAAAGTAATGCACAAGTTCCTCATTGGCCATGTGGGGTGTTCCATCCATGTTGAAACATGGGAGTTTACTCAATTTGACAGACAGCCTCTTCCATTATGGGTTTGATTGTAATAGGTTCAAACTGCCTATGGAATTAAAGAGTGCTCAGAAATTAGCATGTTATTTCGTAATTTCAGCATACAGCAATTGTACATGTGCAATATTATAGTGGAAGTGAACTTTATGTGCCATTCATACATCTTAAGGACTAAAGCCTTCCCAGAACTTGTGTGTTCTCATTTATATAATGCTATGCCATACTCCACACCACCCATAACCAGGCACATAGACATTCCAAGGAGTTGCCAACCGTGGCCCAGTTGACAATCCCTCTCTACACACTGGGATACACGGAATGAGAAATCATGGAGCAGGAGCTGCAATGTTTATCAGATTGGGGACTGAATTATAGTATAAATGAAGCCATAAGGTCTGAGCAAGAATTTCCTCAGGAGCTGCTCTGGTTGAGTAGGTAAAACTCCAAGTGAGGAGGAATGGATATTAGAATCCACATGATTTCTATAGCACTAAATGTGAAAAACTTTATCCTGTTATGCCACTGCTCTGTCCTATTTTAATAGTTTAACACACACTATTAGATGTTGTAGTGTTAAGTAAGGTGACAAGCTCACACCGATGGTAATCCCAGTGCTTATAATCACAAAATCGAGAAAAATAAAGCGGCATACATAGAAAGCGTGCAAAACAATGGCAAAAGCGAAGACACATTTTTCCAAATGTCATTGATCCAAAACCTGCTTCGACTAAATCTTTCTGTGCAATATTAAAAACACATTTATGCAGAAAATATGACTATTATTTCTCACACAGCCACCTTAAAAATGTAATTCTCCAATTAGCCATTTCAGAGTAGTTAGAGAATTAAACAACACTACATTGCTAACTCAAGATCAGGGATAGAACTCTTGTCCTTACTTGCTTGTTTCACTCTAATTGATTGTGGCATGCAATGGCTGGAATATAGAAACTCATCCCTGAAAAAGCACTAGGTAGGACTGTGAAAAATGGGTGCCATTAGCTCGCTTTTGGCTTTAAGAACATACACGATCTCTTGGAGCTTCAAGCTAAATGTACACAGCAGAATATAGGATCACAGGTGAAAGGAGAATGGGGTACTGATTCCAGGAAATTTGTCCTCTTGCAAAGAATCATTAACATAGGGGATAGACTTCCAAATAGAATTATATAGAGAAGATTGGATACACTAATGGATGGGAAATATGGGATCTCATTAATAAGGGTTAAGATGATTGAATGGCCTTCATCATCATAGTGTGCTTGGCATCCCCTCCTCCTAAAATACAGAAAATTGAAAGCTTTAAGCAGGTGAACATAAAACACAGAATTTGCTGAAGTCACTAGATCCTTTTGACTTTAAGCTTTGAATTGCAATCTATGACATTGGGAAGAGTTTCTAAATGAGAAGTAAAAAATTCAACAGGAAAATTGCATTAAGATCTCATAATCTTGTTGACCTTCTTTTAAATATGATGATTGTTTTCACCCTAATTCAATCACAATAATATCCATTTATTTTACAGGGTTATAATTAATGTTCAAGCATGTTTTATCCTTGACTAGTGGATAGATAGCTGATTAAAAAAATCATATCGCCAATTGCGATAAGCCGCTTGCGGTCTCACAATCAGTCATAAAAAAACAACTTAAGGAACTATTTAAAATTGATGTTCAAGACCAGTTATGAAACAGAAATGTTTCAAGTTGAATCGCTCACTATATTGAATTAGAGCTGCATCCATGATAAGGGATAGTGAAAGGAACTCAACCATGGTTTTACTTCTGATTCATATCAAATGATATCTCTGGAGGAAGACTGGATCAAGCTCAGCTGTGGTGCTTTTGTCAGCCAATCTGCTGAGTCAGTGTCAAAGCTCAAACCAGCAAATCTTACTTTGTAACTTGTCAGTCACTGACTACTGCTCTGCTAACCACAACACAATGAGGGAATTGACTCTTTAAAATTGGAGTAAACAGAAATAAAGTTTTTAACTTTGAAGTGGTGACTTACAATAACAAGGTCTTTTAATGTATAACATTTGAAATTTATGAAATGTGTCACCATTTCAAACATTTTACAGTGATGTATGCAAATCCAATGATTGAGATTATGTGGCAACCAATTTGCAACAGCAACTCTGTACAAAGAATAGCAAGAAGGAAGTTTCGTATTGGCATAGGTTAAAAAACATTAGTAAAAATCTATTGTAGTTTGGAAAGTGCTATTTAATGTCTCATAAGATGGTTCAAGTGGGCAAGATTTTGCCTTTGCAGGTCATTTGCTAGACTGCCGCTCAGACAATATTGCTTTCCACCAGTGCTGCAACCTGCACTAGATTAGCAAAACAAATTATGAGCACAAGCCCTGGTGTGAACCCATAACCTTTTGACCCAGACAGCAGAGTATGAACAACTGAGCAATTTAATTCTATCCTCACTGGAGTTTCTGTAGACACCACAATACACAAGTTCTCCCACAGCTAAAAGATAAAACATTGAGCAAAAATAAAACTGCAATTGTTATTACATCTATTTATTAAGTAGGTGACTAAAATACAAGGCATTTTCCATAAAAAGGTACTTCCCATTTTGCTTACAACTAAAGATGTGTGTGTTGGGCAACCTCAATCTGATATTGACATACCCTCTTCCCCACTGTTATGAAAAACAGTACTATCATTCCATAAATCATTTTTGCTTAAACAAGTAAAAATAGAAATTGCTGGAGAAACTCAACAGGTCTGTCAATACCCGCGGAAAAAATGCAGTGTTAACTGCTGGTTTTGACCCTTCTTCAAAAACAGAAACAGCTAAGAAAAAGTAGCGTTTGCACTGGTTGGTTGCGTGGGGGTGGGGAGCGGGAGGAGGAGCAGATTGGTGGAAAGGAAATCTTGAGAGAGAGGGAGAGAGAGAGAGAAAAGGATAGGCAAACAAAGGGATTGTTGATTGTAAGCCATGGAGAAAGAGAAGCTAGATCGATGGTAATGGGGACTATGATTGGTTGAAAGTGGGTTGGCTACACTAAAAACAACCCATTTCGAGGCAGGATCTGGTGTTGCGGAGGTGGATAACAGACAAGGAAAGGGGTGTTCATGCTCTGAATTTTTAAACTCAATATCAAATCCTTAAGGCTTTAAAGGTGCCTATGCGGAAGATGAGATGTTCTTTGTCCAGCTTGAATTAAGTTTCACTGGAGCATTGCAGCAGACCTGAGACAGAGATGCTGGTGTGGGAACATGATGGTGCATTGAAGTGGCAGACAACTGGAAGCGTGGGGTTATTTGTATGCACAGAACGTGGGTTTTGTTTCCCCAATGTAGAGGAGACAATGTGAGCAACAAATGCAGTAGATTAGATTGACTGAAATGCAGGTAAATTGCTGCTTCACTTGGAAGGTGTGTCTGGGGTCTTGGAATTGACGGAGGAAGGAAGTAAATGGACAAGTTTTGCACCTTCTGCAATTGCATGGGGACATGTCAAGAGGGTGTGGGGAGGTGTTGGGAGTGGAGGAGGAGTGGGCCAGAGTGTCCCAAAGGAAACAGTCCCTGTGGAATACTGACAAAGGAGGGGAGGGAGATATGTGTCATGGTGGCATCCCACTGGAATTGGCACAGCTTATGATCCTTTGGATGCAGAGGCTAGTGTGGTGGAAAGTGAGGACAATGGAGAACCCTATCAGTGTTCTGTCATGGAATTGAAGAGCTGAGGGCAGAAGTGCAAGAAATGGGTTGAATATAGCTAGGGATCCTATCAACCACAGCAGTGGGGAATCCTTGGTTGAGAAAGATGGGCATGTCCGAGGCTGCCCTGCAGAAGATGGCATCATTAGAACAGATGTGATGGAGATGTAGAAAGTGGGAGAATGGAAATAGAGTCCTCACAGTAAGCAGGGTGTGAGGATGTATAGTCAAGGTAACTGTGGGATTCGATGGGTTTGTAATGGATATTGGCAGTCAGTTTATCTCTAGAAATGGAAACAGAGATGTCAAAGAAGGGAAGTGAGGGATTAAGTGAAGGAGAGGTAAGGATGGAAATTGGAAACAAAATGTACACATTTTTCCAATTCCAGATGTGAGAGGGAAGAGGCACCAATGACGTAACGAATATAACGGACAAAGAACTGTGGGGAGGAATAAGCTCGGCCAGGCAGAGAAGAGTGGTGGATGGGGACAGTTCAGGCTTTCTTCTGAAGAAGAAGCAGAAAGCTCTAAGACCATCCCGATGTGGGATGGAGATGTGGAGGGACTACACATCCATAGTGAAGAGGAGGCGGTTTGTATATGTAAACTGGAAATTTTGAAAGCATCAGAGGAATTGCATTTTTAAGTGGGAAGTGAGTTGACAAAGGGAGAAAAAAAAATATTGACCTGATGTAGGAAGAGATGAGTTCTGTGGGGCAGGAATAGGCAGATACAATGGGTCAATAGTGGGGCCATTGTCCGTGGGGATATAGGAGGAGGTTTTGAAAGCTGGTGCTCAGACTTCATAAAGGTGGAGGGCAGTACACCAGACAATAACAGCACCATCCTTGTCAGAAAGTTTGATTACATTATCAAGGTTGGATCTGCAATCAGTTCAGAGGGAGATAGGTTCGGATGGGTCAGGGGAGCAGAGAAGTTAAAGCAACTGTTGTCATGTTGACAGTTCTCAGTGAACAGGTAAAAAGACCAGAGGAAGGAGTTCATGTGAAGGGGCCTGTGGGATGGGGAGAGGACTCAGGTCCAGAGAAATGTGCATGAAGGCAAAGGCATGGAGGAAGAGTTCAATGTAAATGTCATGCCTAAAATTCACTAAGGTGGGGACACAGAAGGATAAAACTAAATCTTTTGCTGAGCACAGAATATTCAGAATCAGAGACTGGAAAATCAGAAGGTATACCAAATATTCGACAAGACGTAGAAGGGATGGAGTCAGAGGCAAGGGGAGAGTTCAAATGTTCCAGAGGGGCAAGGGTATCTGAGTTGTTGCAGCTTGTGTTTCTTAATGCCTGAAAAGGAAGAGAAAATTTTTCTTGTTAGACCGTCAAATAAGCTGAAGAGTGAACTAGAAGGCTGGGGCGGGGAGGACACCTTTGAGACAGCATTTTTGCTTATACACTGGTCAACATACACCCACTGATATAAAGGATATAAATTCACACACAGACCCCTCCATCGTGTCCAGGAACTTCAGTTTCAGCTGTGCTATCCAGATAAAGCCTCAAAAGGCATCTATTTTTATAAACACTAGGTATTTATAAACACTAGTTCTGACTAAAGGGTACTTGATGAGAAACATTAACTTTATTTCTCTCTCCATGATTGCTGCCTGAGTGGCAGAGTATCTCTAGCGTTTTGTATATGCATTTAGATATATGGGCCAAAGGTGGGTGTATGGAGTTAGGTGGCAGAGAAGCCATTATCTCACTGAATGGTAGAACAAGCTCAAGGACTAAAGAAACAAGGCAACATTTTTACACATCAATTTGGAATGTACTCCCCAATAAGTAGGTGGTGGCAGGTTCAAAGGGACATTCAAAAGGGAGTTGGATCATTTCCCAAAACTAAAAAAAAATACACTGAGCATGGAAACAAAGCAACAAGTGGTATACTGCTGCTATCAAGGACCAGCGCAGACCCGAAAGGCCAAATGATTTGTTCTATGTTGGAAACATTCTACAATATGATTCCTGTTCCTATGTTCTTGTGTTATTTTTGTGTTGCTACTTCTCAATCTTTCTCTCCCACTCTCTCGCTCATTTTTTTTAACTCTAATCTGCTGCTTTTCAGGGCCCCATCTGTTTTGCCCCATGTAATGCTGTTTCATGTTCTTTCCTTTTGACTCCTTTTCTCCTCCTCTATATCTTTATTTTGCTGGCTTCATCATTTCTAATTTATTTCCTTAAGTCAGAACACCTCTGGTGAATGGTAGCCAAGGATTTTGAGGGATCTGGCCAGGATCCAGATTTTTGACATAGTAAGATCGCTGTTGGAGAGGATGGGAGATTCTAGCCAGAACCACATATGGTACACCATCTACAGCTGGCTGTACAGCCTAAAATGCAACTTACAATTACCCAGGCACAACATCTGGCAATATCAAATCATGCTACAGGAAATAAATATGATGCTGATAGGAAGTCTCAAATCCTTTACTGTGTTACTACACAAGATTGTAATGTTGCTGGGAGAAAGACTCAAGAAACTTGTATATTTCGTTGGGAAGTGGGTGAGAGTGCAGGTGGCTATGAAAGCAGAAGTATTTTCCATCTGTTCACAAACAAAATTCTGCGTTGCAGCAAAAATACAATTATAAAATGCAAAATACAATTACCCAGCAGTAAACTGGAGGGATACAATTGATGTCATAAACCACTTATGAGTCATCTCTTGAATACCGAGGCGTGATTGCTATTTGGAAAATGCTCTCAAGCCCCTTTTTATATTTATGTTTAATTAATTATACTCTTATATTACAAGAGTAGTGGGCAAGCCAGAATTAAATCCTTAATTTTCCACCACTGAAAAGGTTGACAGTTGTTTCAAAAGAGAATTGTGCAGTCACTACCCAATTAGTGCCCTGCTGTGTCTGTACCTTGATTCAACACTGAAAAAGCTTGAAGGCTGTGAGGATTAGCCATTTGAGAATGCTTGGTGCCGAGTAGTTTTCTGTTTTAACATAAAGACGTACTGATGCAAAAATTCCTAATTAGAAATAAAAGCAAAATACTCCAGATACTGGAAATAGGCTGACAAAAACCATTAAAAAAAAGTCTCAGACTTAGAAATTTACAACTGACATTGTATCGATTGTTGGAAAATTATTAAAATAAGTCCACAAATCCCAGACTCCCCAATGCATCTATTCCTGAATCGAGAGGAACTCTTCTGATTCACCCCAAGTAATGTCATGACTGATCTATCAGTAAATCAGGGGAGGCAATGGTCCAGCGGTACTGTCAGTAGATTATTAATCCAGACATCCAGGTAATGCTCTAGGGATAGTAGGAACTGCAGATGCTGGAAAATCTGAGATAACAAGGTGTAGAGCTGGATGAACACAGCAGGCCAAGCAGCATCAGAGGAGCAGGAAGGCTCAGAA